GGCCCATCATCCTAAGGCGGGCGCGCTCGCTGCCCAGCTCGCCTGAGCGCCGCCATAAGGGCGCAGGCGCGCAGGGCGCTGCGTGCCGGCCGGGCTGCAGCAGGCAGCACCGCGTGCGCTTCGCCGACGCTCTGGGCCTGGAGCTGGCGCAGGTCAAGGTGTTCAACGCGGGCGACGACCCGTCCGTGCCACTGCACGTGCTGTCGCGTCTTGCCATCAACTCGGACCTGTGCTGCAGCAGCCAGGACCTGGAGTTCACCCTGCAGTGCCTGGTGCCCGACTTCCCGCCGCCCGTCGAGACCCCTGACTTCGGCGAGCGCCTGGGTCGGCAGCTCGTGTGTCTGGAGCGCGTCACCTGCTCAGACCTGGGCATCAGCGGTACGGCGCGCGTGCGCAACCTGGCCTTCGAGAAGCAGGTGGCGGTGCGTTACACGTTCTCGGACTGGCGCAGCGCGCACGAGGCTGCGGCGCGGTGGCGCGGGCCGGCGGGCACTGAGGGCGCCGAGGACGTCTTCACCTTCGGCTTCCCGGTGCCGCCCTTCCTGCTGGCGCTCGGCTCCCGCGTGCACTTCGCGCTGCGCTACCGTGTGGCCGGCGCCGAGTACTGGGACAACAACGACGGTCGCGACTACAGCCTCACGTGCCGCAACCATGCACTGCACATGCCGCGCGGGGAGTGCGAGGAGAGCTGGATTCACTTCATCTGAGATTCCGCGCGCAGGCCGCACCCGCGCTCACTTCCTTGCTGGGCTCTCGCATCTGGGCAGTGGCCCTTTCTCACACCCCATCTCCTAACCGAAGTCGTCTGACCTCACTTCCCACTGTAAGGTGTGATGGCATGGCCCGTCCTGTCTTCTACTTGCATCGTCTGTGTCACCTGGTCTAAAAAGTAACCTTAGGTGCCAGAAGGACGAGCTGTGTCCTATGCTGGGGCAGGGTGCTGGGTGGGTAGACTCATGGGTGCGTTGGCCCCTCTGAAGAAAGCCCAGGCAGGTGGTTTTGGAAAGGCCTGCGTCCTCCTGCTGGGAAAGCCTGTGGCTTTTGCGTGTGTCCTGATTGGGTCTCTGTGAATATAGCTGTTATTTATCATCATTGTGACGTTGGGACTTTTTTACCCTTAGTGGATGCCTTCTTTGGAACATTCTGGATTTAATAAGCTAAAAAAGGAAAAAGTCATTTTGTGTGTTTGTGCCCATTGTAAACAATGTACAGTGTGACCCCCATTATGGTCCCTTGTGGCATTCCT